TGTTATAGATTATTGGATCTAATGTTCTGTTGATATTGCAGCATGGTGAGGGGAAATACAAAATTAACAGTTACATAACACAGCTTAAATGATGTCCACACTTATGAAAAAATAAACAAATCGAAACAAAACATTGAGAGGATTATAAATATAAGAAATACAATAACAATAAAGTTTGGTACTGTAAGGGTGGAGGAAATGGTTTATTTAATAGTGCGAAGAAGGTTAGTTAGTCGGTTCATGCCTAACACTATTTTCATCACGTAAAGTACGTGCCGCCAAATATGCTATAGTGGAATTTTTATACTTAAACTGGCCGTCCATTTTATCTTCAGTATGGAGCTAGACAGCTAAGCGGGCAACTGTTGACAGAAGTCTGCACTAGCCTGTTAGAAATGCTTCTCATGGCTCACGTGTAGCGCAAGTTTTTGACCGATTTTACGTTTGTGTCGTACATAAAGTCTTCTGAAAAAACTCCTCGTTTTACCTAAGGAGGAGACACAAGATTGGAGCTACGGGTGCTGTGGTGGGTGCTCAGAGTCTGACGAAATCCTTTTAAAGTGGGGCTTCTGCGGGTGGATTTCGGCGGCTCTTAAAGTAAGACTGAGATTAGTCGGAATAGAGTAGATAACTATGCAAGTGTTGTTATCATCGATTTTATGTTCAGTATCTTCGAGGTGAGCTAAAACACCCAGCTACAAATAAATCTTATTTGGTTGTCACTTGCTTAACCACTATACAGCATGATCTTCAGAAACCCGGTAATGAAAAATGCCTTATTGTACGTACTCCCAGTGTAAGTGGCTTTACTGGATCAGTTAAACTGGTGGATACACTTATAGGAGGAGAAATCAGACGGTTCATCCTGTGAAGAAACAGTAGCCAATTAAATTCTATCTTTGTGCCTATGCTCGGTCTATCTCTTAAACGCTTTCTGTTTTTATCCCATGCCTCACTTGGGTTCATTCTTCTACGGACTGCTTACCTGAACGATCGTGTCTGATTCCGGCTAGTTCACAATTTTGGCTTTAACGTTATTCCGCTCTGATAGCGGTACCTTGCTTTCTGTTAAGCGTTATGCTTTGTACTCTTGAAACCGTTAAGGTTTGTTGTATATATATAATTATTGATTTTTTATTAATAGTACCATAGAAACAGTGACCGGCTTCTTATTTGTTCTGGACCGGGATAGCCTTTATCTACGCATGACTTAATTTCAAGCGATATTGCGCTTACATCCAGTGTAAGTGGCTTTACTGGATCAGTTAAACTGGTGGATACACTTATAGGAGAAGAAATCGGATGGTTCATCCTGTGAAAAAAACAGTCTACATCGGATGCATTGAACGCTTTGTGCTTTTTTTTTGCCAGTTCGTCTAAGTAGCTAGCCAGAATTCAGGTATTTCAAACCGGATACACTAATGATAAGCTGGGGTGGCGAACGGGTGAAACGGTCATTCAGTGAATAACAAATAGTACTGTTCAGTGAGAGTGATTTCAGCTACTCATTTCGGTTAACTAGTAGTATATAACCATCAGGCTATTTCGTTTGTTTTTTCTTGATTAACATTTATGATCACAAGCAGATCATATATACATATTGTGATTTTCAATCGAAACTGTGGTAATTTATCACTGTGAATTGTATATAATTTTGAAATGATGAAATTGTTTCTGGGCTTAAGTCTCGAAATGGCTTAGCAGCACACGTACACATGTGTTCGACTGATATAATATTCATAACGAACGAGATTTTGATCGAACACAATTGTGCTTTCGATAACTTCTTCTTCAGGCTCTACAGTTATAAATCCCCATGAATAATAGAGTACATATAGCCCGCCAATAAAGGCAAATGAAAATAATATCAGAAACTGTATTGGGGTGCAACTGCGTAAGTTGACATGATAGTCCATTCGTTAACATAGTCAATTTAATGTGTATAGGAGGTGTATAATCAGAAAAATGTGATGAAGTGTAAATCAACATTTGGGTGATATAGTGTTTCTATTGTTTGGTTTGTAAGGATTAGTTATGTTTTACGGGTTGATCACGGATTGATATCAGTTAGAGAACCATTGAAAACCAGGGAGTACTGGACAGCTGCTGTTTCATCCTAGTTTGGGAATCATCGGCAGTACGCACCACCACCAAAGACAATGGTTGGCGTCGCGCTAAATCACGAATTAGTAGAAGTTAGAATTCACGAGCCAATTGAATCGGGTCCCAGTGGCTGAATGGTATACGAGCCAGCTTGCCTTGTAACCGGAAGGTCCCGGGTTCGAATCCCAGTGGGTGCGTACTGCCGATGATTCCCAAACTAGGCTGATGAAACAGCAGCTGTCCAGTACTCCAGTGCTGGTTTTCAATGGTTCTCTAACTGATATCAATCCGTGATATAGTGTTGTTTTATAGTCAACGGAATACAAGTGTCCTTGGGGTGAAAGAAATGCGATAACCACAAAATACATACAAATACACATTAACAAAGGGGACACTGAATGTGAGGGTTGACCGATAATGTCAAATGATAAAATAAAGAGGCTAAATTGTAAATTGTAATACGATGTTACAGAGTCGGTAGGCTTAGTATAAAATCATAAAGGTTGACAAAAAGTAAGGGTAACAATGAGGTGAAATAAACTGGGTGGTGGTGAAATGGATAATAAAGACATGATATCACAAAATGATAATAATAATAGTACGAAAAATTATGATCCTGGTGACCTTATAGTGGGCCAGGGTAGACAAAGAGAGTGAATAAGTTTTTTCTGTACACATAGGTCTGGTCTCTCTCTCTCATTAATCTCTAAAGCCTTAGCTATGGCTAGGAGGCGTAATCGTGTGCCTTTGGGGAGATTGTTCAGTACACGATACACAACTGTAAATGACTACTCATCTACTTTGATGCTGTCTGTTCGCTATCCACTAGATGAGACAGAATTGCACTATTTAATAATTTGGTTGCTCTTTTCCCTAGCCATACAGGAATATGTTCACGAGTACGTAAAGATAAATTCCTTTAGATACGACCTATATAACTAGCTCCACAGGAGGAGCAGTTGAATTTATATACACACATTGATGTCACCATTTTGGCCAATCTATCTTTAATGCACAGTGTCAATATCGGTTTGGTTGAGACAGTGACATGCAGTTTTGTGGCATTGATATTCATATTATTATTCTAGGTTGTGAGTGAATCACAAGGCTTCACCAGTACATCTCCATTCCATCCTGCTTTCTGCAGACCACTTTAACTCATCTCCTCATCACACGATCTCCTACATGTCACCCTCAGAACCATTCCTAATCACGTTCCACTGAAGAGTTTGCTTGACGCGTGATTTCACTCAACGGTCTCATCAGCGTGTTTCAGACTGACTGACTGACTGACTGACTGACTGACTGACTGACTGACTGACTGACTGACTGACTGACTGACTGACTGACTGACTGACTGACTGACTGACTGACTGACTGACTGACTGACTGACTGACTGACTGACTGACTGACTGACTGACTGACTGACTGAGTTCCAATATAAAACTCAGTACAGAAATGCAGCAGTTCAAGTTTCCACACTCCGTGTAGAACACAAAAATAGAAAAGACTGAAAGAGATTTTAAAGTACTATATTATTATTATTATTATTCCCTTGGATTCCGAGTGGGATAGAGAGCCTCAACAGCACATCTCCACTTTCTCCTATTTTACTGCTGTCCTTTTCAGTTGGCTGACCCCACGATAGACCATAATCTCTCACTTCCTCCTCCTCCCCAACACACAATCTCCTCCATATCACCCTCCCATTGACGACCCACTCGTCGCTTCCCATTTGGATTCCACTTGACCGCTGGCCTGTCTAGTGCACGATGTCATTCGACGGCCTTCTCAATGTATGCCCAATAAATCCACCTCCATTATCTCCTACATTATTTGTTGAGTGATCGGCTCTTGACTAGTTTATTCCCAGCCAGAGTTTCTTGTTACCAATTCTTTCTGGCCGTTCATTTTATCTTCAGTATGGAGCTAGACAGCTAAGCGGGCAACTGTTGACAGAAGTTTGCACTAGCCTGTTAGAAATGCTTCTCATGACTCACGTGTAGTGCAAGTCTCTGACCGATTTTACATTTGTGTTGAACAGAATCCGAATCTTATTGTTTATGCTGGCCGTCTGAGTGAGTCAGTGCAGAAGATTTACAAACTGGTTGTTTCAGGTCGATTTAGGCGTAAATTGCGTTTTCGATCCTCTTTGATCTGCTTTGACAACTTCATCCGTGCCATCGCTTGTGGATGAAACCATGCTGGCTGTCTAGATAAGTGAGGGCAGGAAGTAACCTTTATGAAATCTCTCTCCCGCTGATGGTGATTGTTGCTGGTTGTTGTTGTTGTTGCTACTGTTGGTTGGTTGGTTGGTTGGTTGGCTATCTTCATCACCTCGTCTTCTCTATATTCACTTGGAGTCCTGTGTTCACTGCTTTTTCAGCCAACTCTATAGTACACAGGGTTTTAGTATTGTAAAATTAGGAAAGTGCGTCGGTGGTATAGCGGTTAGGACGCTCGCCGACCATGCATATGGCCCGGGATTCGATCCCCGGCCAACAGACGCACTCCTTTACCTCACTGAGCCAGAAATAATGCTGGTAAAGAGGAAAGGTTGGGCATGAGGCCGGCTAGCAACCCCATCCTGTAAAATTAAAAATGAACACTGCTACAGAAACTTCAAGTTACTAGCTTGAAGCCCACTGTGTTCCACCGGGAACGTGAAGGAAAAATTATTATTATTATAATTATTATTAAAATTAGGAGAAACCAGGTTACAAGATGTAACATTATCTAAGTTTTAAGTTTGTTGGGATTCCTCTTCAAGGTGTATCAGTGGCCTAATGATCAGTTCTGCAACTCTAAGATACTTTTCTATCCTTGAGTTTATAATAATATTATGTATTTTGACCAGTGTCTGATATCATTCGTTATTCTATTTATTTCAATGAAGGTCCAGAAACATTTCAAATATGGATGAATAAGAAAGAAGTTAAAAATGTCAAGGTTAGTTATGCCTATTCAAAACAGTTTTTCTGAAAAGTTTTATGATTATGCTTCCCGTTCCATCTAATTCCCAACAGTTTTCCGCGGCAAACCAAATGAGATGTGTTGATTTTGTTGTGAACCTGTCACCAACTGATATGATTGCGTCGACAGTTGATATGACTGAGTGAATTTATGCTTGGGTGTAGTAATACTGGCTAATCGGACAACTTAATGGATATGCTAAATATGCTTATTCCTCCATGGTACCTTCCGCTTTGCCTTGCCTAGTTTAATAGCCTGTCACAAACCCGGTTTAAGAGGGAGGCCTGAGCGTGGGGCTAGTCAGCTAACACTACTAAGCCTATGACACCGCTAGGGATACTTCAACGCACAGTAAATATATTAAAATACAAAAATTTCAAATAACAACAATCATATTCTTTGCTCGAATCGGAGAGGCGAAATGACATAGCAGGCTGATGAAAGCCTTCGGGAAGCCAGTCAACCAGCCGATGCGTCTTCTCTCGATGAAAGCAAGAATAAGAATGAGGACATGGAATGTCTGCACAATCTACGAGGCTTGGAAGGCTGCCCAGGTGGCCAAAGAATAGGAAAATATGGTGTACAAGTGCTGGTTATCTGCGAGAGCCAATGGAATGAATATGGACTGTCAAAATTATCAACTGGTGAGTCAGTAATCTACTCCGGTCTGGTCAAGCAGACGACAACCACGAGCACACTGAGACAGTAAGTAGTTATGATGATATCACCAGTGGTGGTAAAAAGTTTTAATGCAGTGGGAAGCAACCTCCCCCCCCCGCAGGATCAGGGCGGCAAGATTCAACTAAAAGGGAAGGAAGGTCATATTCATCCAATGCTATGCACAATGTTACAAACAACTCGGAACAAGAGAACAAGGGATATTTTTACAGACAACTACAAATAGTAATGGACAACATCCCAAATGGTGACATCCAAATCCTCATGAGAGACATGAATGCCAGCTGAACAGGGAGCTGATAACACAGGAAGAGAACTCATCGTGGGTTGAGAGGCTCTTGGTGAAGCGAATGATAACGGAGAATTATTCGCAAACTTCTGCTCTTTCAACGATTTGGTGATCGGAGGCAGCATGAACAAAGTAACATCGATTTCTCCTGATAGACACACTACAAACCAGATAAACTTCACTTCAAAACTGATCAGGAAAGTGGAGACGCAGCCTACTGGACACAAAGTCGAGAAGGGGAGTAGATGTGGGCTCATAAAATCATCTAGCTAGTTGAAGCAACCTTCAAGAGGAAGCTGGAATCCATGAAAACAAATGAAGATAGACAACAATTCAAGTTCAACATTCAGAAACTGAAGGACAAAACTACAAGGGATACCTTCACTATAACAGCAAAGTCGGAGACACTATGTGGCATCATTAAGGGATCCTGCGGGGAAAGAACAATGGAACTAACTCTCCGAAGGCGATATTCAAGGAAACATGTACAGATGTTCTAGGAAGAAAGAATAGGTAAGACCGGGAATGGCTCTCTATGTACACCTTCAAGCTAATAGTGGAGAAAGGGATGGTGAGACAGAAGGTGAACCAATGCAAAGATGCACAAAAGAAGGAGAAGCTGAGTTCAATGTACGTCACACTGAATGAAGAAGTGGAGTGCTAGACAGTTCTACGACATACTGATAACTGAAGCAGAATAGGCCGCAGGCAAAAGAGACCTAAGGACATTATATCAGATAACCAGGTCTCTATCGGGGAAGAGATCAACCCAGATGATGAAACCAATAAAAGATGCTCGAGAGAACCTGATCACCAAGGAGGAGAAACAAATCAAACGATGGACTGATCACTTTAAAGGACTCTTGAATCGACCACCACAGGCAACTAGCCCAGAAATACCACCAATAACACGCACAGAAGTGCCTACCAGTAGACAGGAGTCCCCCAACGAAATCAGAAATCCAGAATGCGATCAAGCTACTGGAGTTCAGTCGGAGAGGTAGCAAGACCAGACATAATCCCCCTGAAGTACTGCGAACAAACCCAGAGACGCCATTATTAAAAAGATTTGGAAGGGAGGAAGGGTACCTACCGATTAGAAGAAAGGCTAGCTCCCTTTCAAGCTGCCAAAAAAGGGCGAAATAGGTCTCTGCAAGAGCTGATTGGCGCGGAATAATGCTCTTGTCCACGCCAAGTAAAATATTAAGTCAAATCATCCTGGAGAGGATAAAAGATGCACTGGATACAGAACTCCCCAAGCCACATCGGAACAAGCTGACTGGATTCAGTAAAGGCAAGTCATGTACTGATCAAATTGCAACTCTACGTATTGTCATCGCAGAACAAAGCGTAGAATGGCAGTCAAACCTCTCTCTCTCTACTTCAACAGCTTCATCGACTTCAGAAAAGCCTTCGACAGACAGCGTTGACCGAGACGTCATTTGGAAAGTGTTTCCCCACTACGGCGTGCATTCCCCAAGTCTTTATCAACATTATTCAACAGCTGTCTATAAGACAGTAAAACGTGTCAGGTGATCCACAATGGAAAACACAGAGAGGCATTCGAAGTGAATACAGCAGTAAGACAATCCTGGCTGCCTATTATCACCGATGATATTCTTAGCTGTGATGGACTGGATTATACTTCAGACTGTGAACAAGGAGTGAGAAGACTGGAATACACTGAACCACAGATAAGACAACTCTGGAAGATGAGGGTTTGGCTAGTGGATGATTTATGTTCAATGTCACACAAACTCGAAGACTTGCAGGAGAAAATCAACAAACTGGTAGAAGAGGCTGACAGGCGGTGAATAAAGGACTCCTGGCGGACATAGAGAAGACGGAGGTGATGAAGATAGCCAACCAACCAACCAACCAACCGACCAACAGTAGCAACAACAACAACCAGCAACAATCACCATCAACGGGAGAGATTTAACAGAGGTTACTTCCTGCCCTCACTTATCTAGGCAGCCAGCATGGTTTCAAACACAGGCGATATCATGAATGAAGATGTCAAACCAGACTAGAGAGGATCGGAAAGGCAAGACACGCCTTCATCAACCTGAAAACAGTTTGGAAGTCTTCTGCACTGACTCTCTCAGCTAGCATAACACTAACACTAACACTATAATTTTCACGTATTGGTAGTTATTGCCGATGGCCAAATGACCTTCAAATAAACTGACTTCAATTTATGTAAAAAAAATTTTAACTATATATTTAGATGATCAATAAAAATCCGAGTAAATCTACTGAAGAAGCCGTGGCTTACACGGCGAAACGTTCAGGAAACAGATCTTGTTTTGATTTTCTTAACACGCTAGGATTAATTTAAATTATTTCATCGTGAGCTGACATCTCAGTTAGAGAACCATTGAAAAACCCCGATGACTCCCAAAATAGGACAAAACAACTGTCCAGTACTCCCTGGCAGATTTTTCAATGGTTCTCTGATTTTTTTAAAAGAGTGGATACTGAACAAAGAATACTCTTTTCGATAACCCCTTCATCATCAAGCTCTACAGTTATACATACATTATAGTGAATGAATGAATGAATTAGTTTTATGAACAACATTTATGTCGTCGTTTATTATTTATTATTATTGTATCCTTTAGTTCCTAGAGGAACATAGGGCTTCAGCTGCGCACCTCCATTGACTTCGGTTTTCTGACAACTTTTTCACCCTGCTCCAGGTCTGCCCACATGCTTTCATCTCCTCTTCACATGACCTCCTCCAAGTCACCCTTGGACGACCAACTCGCCGCCTCCCTTTCGGGTTCCACTCGAGGGCTTGTCTAGTGATGTCACTTGATGGTTTCCTCAGCGTATGGCCAATCCATCTCCATTTCTTTCTGCCTATTTGTTTCACAATCGGTTCCTGATTGGTTCGCTCCCAGAGATCCCTGTTGCTGATCTTTTCTGGCCATCTGATCTTGAGTATTGAGCGGAGACAGTTGTTAATGAAGGTTTGAAGTTTGTTTGAGATGCTCTTTATGACTCGCCAAGTCTCTGATCCGTATAGTAGCACTGACTTCACATTGGAGTTGAAAATCCGGATCTTATTTTTGATGCTGATTGCTGTTGACCTCCACACAGATTTGAGAGTAATGAAAGCTTGTCTTGCTTTTCCGATTCTGGCTTTGATGTCCTCGTCAGTTCCGCCTGTAGTTGAGACGATGCTTCCCAGGTAGGTGAAGGAGGTTGTTTCTTTCAGGTTCTTCCCATTTATGCTTATTGTGGTCTGTTGTTGCTGTTGATGTTGGCAAGGAATCTTCATCATCTCTGTTTTATCTATGTTCACGTGAAGTCCTATCTTTGATGCTTCTTCTGCCAACTTGTTACTTTTCATTTGCATATCTTCCAGTTTATGGGAAATCAGACATATATCATCGGCGAAATCCAGATCCTCCAAGTCTTTTGTGTCAGTCCATTTTATGCCTGTTCCCTCGTTGGTTGCCGTTGTCTGTCGCATTATCCAATCAATTGCAATCAGGAAGATCATTGGTGATAGTAGACAGCCTTGCCTCACTCCCGTCCTCACTTCGAAGGCTTCCGTAAGTTTCCCGTTGTGGATTACTTGGCATGCAGCATTGTCGTATAACTGTTGGATGAGGTGTATAATTGTCGATGGGACCCCGTAGTAGCGAAGTAGTTTCCAAATGACCTCTCGATCGACGCTGTCGAAGGCCTTTTCAAAGTCGATGAAGTTGAGATAGAGAGGTGACTGCCATTCCAAGCTTTGTTCAATGATGATCCGTAGAGTGGCGATTTGATCAATACATGATTTGTTTCTCCTGAATCCAGCCTGTTCCGGACGAAGTTTTTCATCTAGGGCTTGTTTGATTCTCTCCAGGATGATGCGACTTAGTATCTTGCTTGGAATGGACAGAAGCATAATTCCACGCCAGTTTTTACATTGACTTAAGTCTCCTTTCTTTGGAAGTTTGAATAAGTAACTGTTCTTCCAATCCTCGGGTACTTTGCCCTCTTTCCACACCTT